ACGGGTTGTTGAATAGTAAAATAGTTTTTTTTAGCGGAGCAAATATTTTTTTTAGGGTTAATTATCATTCTACTGACTAGTTCACACATTAAAAATACTCGTGAAGACATAATAAGACATAAGGTTTGAAAAAAGGCCCCAAAAACCAAATCGGCTGATATGTACTATAGCATTGAAATCTGTAAGAAAAACAGTATACAGGAAAGCTTTCAATTGAAAGATTTAATTACTTTTTGACATATTCTCAAAAAGCTCTGGAAATTCAGGCTGATTTTTACAACTCCGCACCCAGCTGTGTACTGATAATTAATCTAAGTTAGGTAGTAAATCATTTTTCTTCAACTTTTTTAGGTTCTTTTATTAATTATCTTGTAAATTTCTGATCTTTTCTTTCCTTAGATATGCTTCAAGAATCTGAGCATCATTTATTTGATCTTCAAAACACGCCTAATCCTTGAGCTCCAACGTAAATGATGTTCTTTTTATTTATAAGATTAGTTTATTCGTACTAATACTAATTAGACATTAATATCATTTAATAATTTTAATTCCTGAAATTACCAGTCATCTTTACTTTGCCAACAGTTCATTTCATCAACAGTCATTTCATTGACAGTTCATTTCATTGACAATTAGTTTACATGTGATGATAGTGATGGTGATGATATTGTCACTGACTATTTTGGTGATTATAATAATTGAATTATTGTTTTTAATAGTGTAAATCAGACAAATTGACAATATGCTAATGAATAGTACATAGGTAAACTCGATAAGTCGGACACAAATAGCTAGACATAGTGTCCGACTTATCAAGAGATCCGACTTATCAAAATATGCAATTTACAAAAAAAAAAAAAATTAAGAAAATCGTTGTTTAAATCATATTTATTTATTTTTAATAATAATTGAAAAAATAATTTAATAAAACAGATAGAAGATAAAACAAAAAAAATCTCTACTCTTTATCTAAATAAATATTCATACTGGTTTGTACTAAAGAATTATTTTGTTTTCTATTAATTTTCCATTTTAAATCTTTTAATCATTTAATGATGAGACAACAAAACGTGAATTCATTTAATGAGGAGATAATAAATGACATAATTGATAAATATAACAATAAATACATTATTTGCAAAGACAAATTTTTTAAAATGATTATAATTGATAATAATATTATTTGGCATTTACAATATATAGTTGCAATTCAATTCTCTTATAAAATAATAGCAAATGACGTGACTTATTCCATTGAAGGAGATAAACATGGAGCAGCAAATGGAGGAAATTTAGCAACAATTAATTTGGAGGATGATGAACATATATTAGTAACGAACGGAAGATTTATTATTATTACAAAAATTTATTGGATAATACATTACTAAAAATAGTAAAGATTATCTCTCAAGATTTACGAAAATCACGTGAACCGACTTATTGAGAGTCATTTATTATTATCTGGCTGGAGGAGTTGTCCGACTTACAGCTTAACAAGAGTTTATATATGTGTCCGACTTATCAAGAAATTTTTAAATATAAAAAAAAAGGGCTGGAAATTTTTGTCCGAGTTAGGCCAAATCCGACTTATCGAGTTTATGGTAAGGGTAATTATTTATCACCGTGAATGATTTGTATGTATGTTTTTGCATACTTGTTATTAATATTAAAAATAATAAGACAACGTAACTATTATAGATCTCTCATATATGGAAAACTACGCGCGTTTGGACAATTCAAAAACACTAAGTAACTTGATCTACAACATTTGTTAATTGGATGGAAACTTTTAGTTAAACCATTCTCTTGTTCCTCGAGCATATAAAAAAAGGCTAAGCTGACTTGCACCCTCCGATGATGCAATAATGTGATTAGACTTTAGGGGGGAGCGTGGCCCTAAGGTTTATCAAAATTGCATCATTGTCAAGGAGATGGTAGCGAATCATTGTGCCAAGTCAATGGAGTGAGCACAAAAAAAAAGCTGGATTTACATTATGACATTAATTAGATTTGTTAATCAGCTTATATCAAATACCCCAGTTGCCTGTGTACTGATACACCAATATTAATTTTGTATTTTGTTTAAAAATAAATTTTTTTTTTACAACAAAAAAATTGTAATCATTCATGGCATGCATCACATGCTCAACCATACCTTTTTTAATTGTAAGCATTATTATTATATTGTTTTTTTGGAAGAGTACGCATGTTTTATTTAAGTTATTTAAGAGAATTTTTTCAGTTAATAGTTGTTAGTAATAGACTTCCATTAATAAAATACTAAATATAGTTAAAAGATTTACACTGGTGGTTCATAGTGGGTTAGATCTTTTTATCATTGTACGTACAAAGGAAGATTTTTAAAAAAATCGTTTTTTTAATATTTGATGTCAATAATTTGAAGAATCGCAGTCAACACAGCAAAATTGTTCATTACAATGTTTTTTTACCTTTTTGATTTTACTCTTGTGCTTCCCAAAAAATTCAGTTTAATAAAGCTAGGGAACAAAGACCGTTTCGATATCAATTTCAACATTTTCATATTAATATTAATGTTAATTTTTATGTTTATATTTAAATATTTAAAAATAAATATTTATATAAAAAAAAACGGCCTGAAAAAGATTTCCTTTTTGGAACAATGGTTGGTTAGTGAGTTTTCACAAATAAGAAAAAAATCGACAAGATTTTCAAAAAGTTTTATATTAAAAAAAAAAAAATTTATTCCGAAATTAGACGCCTTTAATTAATAATTGTTAAATAATTGTTAATAAAAAAAACATTTTTTTAGATTATTGTGGCAATTAATTCTCTATTTCAGATGATCTTTCTTAAAAGCAAATGAATGGTTATCAACCAGAAGACCATTATAAGAATTTATTAAAATATTGGAATTCATTAATTATATATAGGATTGCGTATAAATTTATATATATATTATATTATATAATATTTTATTATTTATAACTTTAATTTTAATGTTTGAATATAAATTCATTAAACCTTAATAATTTAAACATAAAATAATCTTAAATGAATCGGGAAAAACCCAATAATCTAATATAAATTTCTTTAGATGATTTATGATAAAATTGAGAGTAAACTTCAATCAATATACATGTATATTTGAATGGCTCTCAATCCCATCAAAATTTTATTTGCTTTGTGGTTTTTTCCTTCGTCAGATTAATTAAATGGTTGATTATATAAATAAATTTATATATTAAAAAAAACCTGTATAAAAGAAAATTCCTTTTATTTATTTATTTTTTGAAAAAACTTAAAAATCTTAAAAAATTATTTCATCAAGAAATCAATTATTAAAATGTATGTGTATGTGTGGATATATATATATATATTAGTCTAAATAATAAAGTGGGAGAGGAAAATATAGAAATAATTAAATAATTATAATAAGCTACTTTTAAAGAAAAAATTAAAATAATAATAACAATCCTATTAGGATATAAATTACATAGATAATATTAACAGGATAAGATCCAATAATTAATATTATAATGAAGATTATATGTATAAAAATAAACGATATTAATGGCAGTTTAAAGGTGTTGATTTGTTAAAATAGTTATAATTATAATTATAGTTATAATGATGATGATGATGAAAAATAAAAATAAGTTTTTAATTTGTCTTCTTTGTTGAAGAGATAGACGATAGAAGTATTATTGTATTAAAAAAGGGGATATGATTTCTATTAATTTGAAAAAATAGTTTGGTTTCTTTGTTTACTCTACTTGATTTTTGTTTGCTTCTATAATAACTTTTGCATTACTTATTTGTGCAATTTTTTTTTTGTTTTAAAAAGAAAGAGGGCTTAATTATTGAATTTGCAATGCAATGATTTTGTTCCATCAATATGGTACATGAAGATATTTAATATAAAATAAAGAACTAATTGGAATTATTAAAGCTGTTTTTAAAGTATCCAAGTGAATAATAATATAAATATAAATAAGCAAGCAGAATTAAAAAGGAAAAAATCAAGCAGAATAGGAAAAAAGAAATTAAGGAAGGGTATTAGGAGTATTATATATATATAGTAGGAGAATAGGGAAGTATTGAATAGTATTATTGATTTTCTTATTGTTGCTAAAAGTCTATAATTAAAAAAATCCAGCAATTATAATTATTTTTGATACTAATGAAATTATTGTTATTGTTATTGTTATTAATCATTAATCCACCACCTCCTTATTAAATTAATCAAAAGAAAATCACATGCTTTTTTTGTACATTCTTCTTCATTACTTTGTTGATTTTGTTATTGATTTTGATATGAAAATATAATACCATCATTGTTTTGTTGAGTTAAACCCTGCCAAATGAGCTTAATTTAGTTGGAGTAGGTGAAATATTAAATTTTGATTTTTGAACAGAATTACGTCTTTTTTCTTTCAGAGATGTGATGTAAGGTGAATCAAAACGTGAAATTTTTGGTGATAATGGGGGTGAATTTATACCATTTTGTAATGGCATTGTTGTACTATATGATGGGGGTGGTGCTAATAAAGGTGTAACTAGTGAACGACATGATACTAAACGTGCTTCCAAACTCTATTAAATACAAATATACTGTTAATAAATAAAATAAATATATATAATAATAATGTGATAACATATATAAGTTACCTTGACCCTGCCAACCATTTCTTGTACCATTTTTACCGGATTTGGACTAACATCAGATGAATTTGAATCGATAGACACACATATTCACCATCTTGTTGATTTTTCAATATAGCCAATTCTATATTTACATCTAGATAAAAATTTAAAGTTATATATAATGATAATATTATGTATATTTACATTTATTTTGTTAAAATTGATATATTTACCTCTTAATTCATCTTTTAATCTTTGTACTTGGACAATTAATATATTTTTTCCTTCTAATTCATTTTCTAAGATTGCATTACGCTCTATTGCTTTATTATATTTGTTTTCTAAATCTTGCAATGAACTTTTTGCAGCTCTATGTAAGGAAAGAATTAATATTATATAAATGATATGGATAATATAAATATTTTAATCTGTCAATCCATCTATCTGTCCAACCTACTAACCTTTCTGTTCTTTCTAAATCATCATTGTCAAGTTCCAACTCGCGAGTTTTTACAGCATATGTCTTTTCAACTTTTCTTAAACTATCAAGTTCTCTTTGCATTTGTTGTTGTGTGACATTGGCATCAGACCTCTGATGGTGGTGGTGGGCCATATTCACCATCTTGTTTATTTTTCAATATAGCCAATTCTATATTCACATCTAGATAAAATTTTAAAGTTATAATGATGATATTATGTATACTTGTATTTATTATTAAAATTGAGATATTTACCTCTTAATTCATCTTTTAATCTTTGTACTTGGACAATTAATATGTTTTTTCCTTCCAATTCATTTTCTAAGATTGCATTACGTTCTATTGCTTTATTGTATTTGTTTTCTAAATCTTGTAATGAACATTTTGCAGCTCTATGTAATGAATGAATTAATATTATATAAATATATCAATATTAATATTAATATTTTAATCTATCAATCTATTCATCCATCCGTCCAATCTACTAACCTTTCTGTTCTTTCTAAGTCATCATTGTCAAGTTCCAACTCACGGGTTTTTATAGCATACGTTTTTTCAACTTTTCTTAAACTATCAAGTTCTCTTTGCATTTGTTGTTGTGTGACATTGGCATCAGACCTAGCTTGGTAATATTTTTGCTAAAATATACACACACACATATATATATTCCGATCAATAATCAATAAGAATAATGACAAGTCAAATAAATTATTTTTTGACAATCACCTTCCATTGATCTACTTCATCTTTCAACATTTCATTCTTTGCTTTTATATCAACATATCTTCTTTCTGATTGTTCTAATTCACGTTCAAGTTCTTCTTCCAATTCTCTTGACGAAGATTGGAATTCTTCCATAGAACTCTGTGTATCAAGTAATGTTTGCTCTAAATCAAAAACACGAGTTTTATAATGTGCAAGTTCTTCATTTATTGATGAAAACATTCTATATAAATAAATAGATAGATAAATTTAATTGATTAATTATAACAATAGTGATAAGGTAAATCATTATTTATTATCTCTTGTTATTATCAATATAAACAAAAATCTAGACACTACTTACTTTCCAGTCATTGTAATCGTGTAATAATATAATCTTCTTTTTCTTTTTTGGAAAAGTTTTTAGAAAGAAGTAATAAGAGACAAATTTTTTAATATGCGAAATAAAACTTTAATATGCGAAATAAAATAAACTTTTTTGGAGGAGTAATATATATATACTTTTTTTGAAATTTACTTCTTTCCTTCTTTCTCGTTATTTAAGAGCAATTTTTATTTTTAAAAATTTTTTATTAAAAATAAAACGGGAAAAAATCAAAAATTATTATTAATAAAAAAATTTTTTGTTGACGTAAAGAAAAAAATTTTTTTATTGTTTATAAAATTGTTTGGGCGGCGGTGCTTATTCTAGTGTTTTGTTGTGTAAACTTGTTTTGGTTGCTCAACTTGGGAAAAAAAATTTTTTTTTAAAATGTATATTATACTATATTATACTATATTATACTATATTATACTATAGTAATATAGTATTACAGAAAAAACTTTAAGGGTAGAGTGTAATCATGTGTTTTATATAATGATCAGCGAGGATAAAATAATATCCAAATCACTTGCCTCATATATATACGTACGTGGCTGGCAGTGTAAAAGGGCTAAAACCCTAATTTAGTAATAACTTAACTTAGTCAGTTTAACAAGTTGCTCATTTGGATTACGCAGCCAGCAGTTTTTGTTATTATTTAATATGGGGCATACCAGACAAAGTGAACATTGGTATTACCAAAAATTTCAGGGATCAATAGCGTTTGTTTAACATCACATTTGTTTTATCACTAAATAAAAATAATTAATATGAAACTCATTTACATTAGATCTACTATGTATGGAACATAGTATCATTAGAAGTATTTTGAAAAAGGATCAAGGCGAAAAAATTGCTCCTTATATTTTCAAAATAAAATGATACTCAGATTATCTAAGAAAAAAAGGATTACTTATGAAATTTACCAAGAAAGGAAAATAATAAATGTTAGAAAAAGAAAACAGAATGAAAGTATGCTATTACCCAACAAAAAGCAAATATCCTTAGAAGGAAAATACAATATTGATCATAAATCATAGCAATTATAAAACCTAAAAAAGGTATATCTACTATTCATAAATAGATTTATCGTCATAATTTCCTTTATTCTTTGAAATTAGCGTTACGATCCGTTAAGACCTTATCCGGTAGTTAACGGATTACCGAGTTGTAACAACGTTAAGAAATTTTGCATAATAATAATATTAACGGGTCCACAACGTTAATCCGTTAACAAACCGGTCGTAACACTATTTGAAATATTGTTTTTATATTCATCAGCAGCTTTGTCAAAATTTTCATACATTTATAATCAGGAAAAATGTAAATTACCACGTTTTATCCTTGAGAATGCTAATAACAAAGATTTTCAGAAAACTTTCTTGTAATCTAAATCATATCATAAAATGTCCTGCCTGGTCGCTTCTCTGATGATGTTACCATCAATATTTACAAACAACAGTCAAAGAACATTATAGGCAAGGCCCTCTTCAATTTGCATAATCCTATATATGTCAGTTGTAAACTTGCAGAAGTATATGGGAAGAAAAAGCGAGTTTAAATTATTTTTTGGTCGTTAGTAAAGGGATAGCAGAAACAAGTAGCCTTGGAAAAAATTGTTTGAAGGGTATTCTCATAATCTCATTAGACGAGGAGAACATTTTTGTATCAAATCGCTGAATACTTCATTAACTGCTGATGGAATTGTCAGTATTTCAGAAACTGAATTTGAAAGTTTTGGAAAAGTTTATGAATCATCAATGACAGTCAGTACCGAATATTTTCAATCAAAATCAAAAATATTTTGTGCAATTGACTTGCTCATCTCGGAACCAACTTTTCCAAATGACTGTCAGTCAAAATCATGGAACCAAACTCCATGGCTTGGAAAACATTGTCAAAGCTTTATTGCCTATGTCCGAAAAAAAAATTACGTTTATACTTTGTTGTTCCTGAAGATATCTATGCTGATTTCATAGTGTGTACAGTTGTTTTACGTATGCCTACAGTCACTACTAACCAAGTTGAACAATATGTTCTCGAAATCAAACTTAAAGTCCGAGTATTGATTGGTATTCAATTTTATAATTATATATTATAGCTGTATTCAAACAAATACACAATAAAAGATAATAGTCAGGAAATCGTTAAAAGGTGGTGTCCAAACAATTCTAGGATCGATGGATTTTAAAAAATTTTGATTGAATTTTAGATCAATTATTACTGTACTAAAAAAAGTATTTAAGTGCAATATTTGCATTAAATCATTAGCTTATTTGCAAATTACAATTAAAAAGAAATACATTAATAAATAAATGAAAGCTATTCGATTTTTATATTATTATAAATGACAAATGTATAAAACAAAAAAAAAGTTTATTTAATTATTATGATCCGGGCAAAGTGCCCAGCGGGTAATAGTAAGCTGAGATATTTTCAATCATGTCACGTTTTCAACATTGAATATAGCAGCTAGGAATTTAACGGTTTAACCAGCTGATTTTCTTTTTTTTACTGGCACTTCTCAGAAGTCAACCTTATCATTGTTTTTTGATGATAATCAAATAAAAGATAAATAAGTCTTTATGGTATCAAACAGTCGACAATTTTTATTAGCTAGCTTTTTTTATTGCTTAATATGAGGAACTACAAACACGTATATACAACAAAATAAAAAAGTTTTATTGGAAGAAGATTCACTTGTTTTAAAAAAAGATAGTTTTACCAAATCTTACTGTGCAAGCAAGAATTTACTTGGTAATACCATCACCCACCATCCGACGAGAGGTGCTGGAAATATATTTAGAAAGAAAAGAAATAGACGTGGTAAAAAATGGTATTCTGATCCTTATTTAAATAATTGCTTTTTTGGTAATTCATAATGTAAATATATATTATTTATCCAAGATGAAAAGTTCTTGGCTGCTTAGCCGGCTGGGAGTTTATCGGCTTAGCCAGCCAAGGTTTCTTAACGACTAACATCGTTACTCACGGAAAATGTTTCTTTATAATACTATATAATAAATATTCTGCTGAGAACTACCTTTTTATTATGTAAGGTTTATCATTCAAATAATCATCCGTAATGATTATATAAACATCTGTCCCCCCACCAACGAAAGATACAGGAAACCAAATAATTTCTGTTTAAATTCAAGTTCTCTAGAAAGATTGCTATATATATAACTTGAATAATTTTGAACAGCCGAATAAAATGAAGACTCCAAATAAAACAAACAATCAAATAAATGAATGAATGGGAATTTGAAATTTATAAAAACTGAAATAAATCGATCAAAAGTGAATAAAAGGAACTTTGTAAAAAGGCATCTTTATTTATTCACAGTTATCTGATACCATTAAATGTTCTTGCAGATCCGTATAGGCGCATAAGAAAGAAGGAAGCAAAGTAATTCGTAAACTAATTAATTGACAAGCACCGAATTATTGTGAATTAACTGATGAGGGTAGCCCAAAAGTTAAGCCATAATTATTAATCACTGAAATGATACCTCGCAATATCACCATTTAACAAGAATCAAAAAATTGTAAAAAAGTTTATTATTTCAAAACATTATAATATAAAATAAAGATAAAATAAAAAAAAATAAATAAAATGATAATGATAAATTTATAGTGGTGTCATTCGTTGTATCTTTTCTTTTACTATTATTATTACTAGAATCTAATGTTTATTAATAATATCGTTAGGAATAATTAATGGATATTCACCTCCAACATTTTAGAGAAAAGAGTTAAAATCAAGATTATTTAACGAACTATCATTACTTGTATAAATTTTTAAGCTTTTAGATTTAGCAATCTCTTCA